TGTGGTGCCCAGTGCTGCGCCGAGCCAGCAGCCGGCTCTCTGTCAGCCCATGGTCTTCATGGGCACCCAAGTTCCCAAAGGTGCAGTTATGTTTGTTTTGCCCCAGCCCGTCGTGCCGAGCGCCAAGGCTCCCGTTATCAGTCCAAATGGCACGAGACTCTCTCCCATTGCCCCCGCTCCTGGCTTCGTCCCTTCTGCAGCAAAAGCCACTCCTCCAGTGGATTCTTCAAGAATAAGAAGCCACATCTGCAGCTACCCGGGATGTGGGAAGACATACTTCAAGAGCTCCCACTTGAAGGCCCACATCAGGACACACACAGGTCAGTCGCTGTTGCTGGATCTGAAAAATTAATGTAGAAAATTGCAGCTATATACACAGCTGGTTAACGTCCTACTGATTCTCAGATTTGTTCACAAAACCAGCTGTGAGGTAGCAATGAAATACCTTCTTTGCCAGCGTGCGTTACGGTGCTGGCTAATCCCTGACAGGAAATCTCCCAGAGGGGAAGCTGAGTCAGCAGTTTGTTTGTGCTGGACTTGCTCCGTGTCAGAAGACGTCTGTTTGGTAGCGCTTCTTGCCAGCATGGAAGTGAGCGAGGCCTTGCCCCGTGCAGGGGACGCTGGTCCAGAGTTAGAGGTGCCTCACTAGGCTTCTCCACAGAATGCCTTTGTCTGAAGTGGATAACACTTAAAGAGGTTCTTTTATGAAAGTGTATGGGGATCCACTCCAAGCTATTCCTGATCATTTGATTATTTTTGTAACTTTGCACCTCAGCGCTTAATTGCAGTAGCAAGAAAGAGTCCCATGTTTTTCCACGTAGGCTCACAGTGCACTAACTGGGCTCTGTGAATGAATTGTTACTAGCGGCTGCGTTTCAAGGGTGATTCTGGGTCTGCTGAGTCATCATCATCTGCACTTCATGTGGAGCTGAGAGTTAAAATCAGCTGTCTTGAGATGTAAAGAGCATCTCAAACTATTTGGTTCCAGAGAATCATTAGCCCTTTGCATTACTTAGCCTTAAGGATACCAGGTCTGCACGTTTAAATATTGGTGTATAAACCATTTTTCAGATTTCATATGTATAAAAATAACAAATATATATGTAGGTTTTTGGCTGAACTGTCATAATGCAATCTTTACTTTAGAAAAGCCAAATCCTGCCGGTCAAGCTAGTAGTGTTTGTTGCTTGGTTAGTACTCACGGGGTCTTTTCCCTTTGACTTTTTTTTTTCTCTTAGGAGAAAAGCCATTTAGTTGTAGCTGGAAAGGCTGCGAGCGGAGGTTCGCTCGGTCTGACGAACTGTCTCGCCACCGCCGAACGCACACCGGGGAGAAGAAGTTTGCCTGCCCAATGTGCGAGCGGCGCTTCATGAGGAGCGACCACTTAACGAAGCACGCGCGTCGCCACTTGTCGGCTAAGAAGCTGCCCAACTGGCAAATGGAAGTGAGCAAGTTAAATGATACAGCCGCGCCACCAGCGCCCACTCAGTGAAAGGGCGTACTCTGGAGGCGGTGGAATTAACTGTAGTCCCTGGCATATGCCAGCTGGAAAAAGGCTTCTGCTCCTGGCCTGTGGCTCTCCCGCGCCAGCCGCCGCTGGCGGCGCAGCAGAGAGGCTGAGGCAGGCTGCGCTCCGTCACGAAACGTGGCCCTGGGAGAACCAGTGGCTGACTGGGGTAGCGGGTGTCTTCTGCGCTGGCAGGCAGGGAGCAGAAGGGGGGTTGTAGAGCAGAGTAGCGCACATCATGCCGGGCTTGAATTTTGCGAGTTTCTCATCTCTAGAGCGGCAGCGTGTAAGTGTTGCTGCAGGTTTGCTGCTAATGCTGGAGACAGCTCCTGTTGCGACTGTCAGTTGTCAGTCTCCAGCACAACACCAGCTAGGAAGATGCCGATGTACGGACGCAGGCTTGAAAGCCCAGAATGCTCCTGCGTAAAATAACCTACATCAGTTTTCCTACTTCTGCCACCATTTCTTGGTAGGAATCTTTTCCCCCCTGTCCATTCTCCAGCCCCCTCATAAGTGAAGATTTGGTGCCAGGCGCCTGGAGATTTTACATCTGTCCTGCACAAGGTGTTTTGCACACTCAGCTTTCTCCTGCTGCCCAGAGGGGTGCGGGGTGGTCGTCCAGCAGCACCGTGAGGGCAGCGGGCATGTGGGAACGTTTGTGAATCCTCGTTAGTGCTGTAATATTTCCCCTGCTTCTTTGGCAAGGTTTGTGATGATGACAGTAGGTTGTGCCAGGGCACCGCACGACGCTTCTGCTTCCTCTTGGCTTACGGTTTCCTTCTTGCCCTCTCACCATCGCCGCCCTGCGTTTCCCATATGCGGATACCGTGCACTTTGAAGAGAAACATTGTCCCTGTAAACTGCTCGGGTTCGTTAAGGAAGAAAACCAAGAATCTCGGGCTTACTGATCATGTTATTCTTTGAAAGACTGTTTATACTAAAAATGAAGTGGATATATTATGTATTGTATTGAATTAGAAAATTGTGATTCAACAAGGAAAAGAAGGCAGTAAAGACACCGGCCCAGGATTTAAACTGTAGCTTTTGTGACAAATAATGCATCAACTTTCGCTATGTCTATTTTATCATATTATGTTGAAGACACAGAAAGTGGACAGTTTGAAAATAGTGTATTAGATACGCTTTTTGTGACTACTTTAAAGATTTGCACATTTCTTATGTTGTACTTTATACTTTGTTTACAATAAAACAAATTTTCTTTTATTATAGAACTCACTATTTTTAATGCATAGCAGAACTTATCCCTTTACAAAGAAAATAACCTCAAAACAAAATACAGTGTCCATCCTTATGTGTCCTGACCAATGAAACATTATCTCTTAACTTTTTGTTTTTTAAGCTCTATAATGGCCACAGGAGTGGAATTTCAATTCTGCGCTTACCCCTCTTGAGTCTCTGTTTTGTTGTGTTGTTTATTGTGTTTTTTTTTTTTTTCTCCTCACTCTTTGTCCCCCTTCCTTTTCTTCAGTCACCTAAGAGTCAACGTGCTTGTGTGGGCTGTGAAAACACCGGTGAGAAATACTTCCTTTTTATGGTGGTGGAACCGGGCTGGGCTGGCTCAGGACGAGCGCAGCCCCTGTTGCTGGTGGCCAGGCCGCCGGACGGGCATGTGGGACCCGGCTGTCCCGGGCTGGCGGTGCTGGGGCTGTACCTGCTCAGGGCAGCTAGCGGGCAGCTCTTCCTCAGCCTCCTGCTGCCTCTGCCCATGAGCAATGCCACGGGCAATGCTGCTGTGTGCCATCCACGGGGACTCTTCTGTCTCCTGCCCTGACCCCCCCGCTCACGGGGATCCCCAGATTTCACAACTGTGCGGCGGTTGACTCACTGCCCTGCCCTGCCGGGCTCTGTCCTGCCCTGCGGGGTGTTTGGGGTAGGGGTGCTCCTCACCTTGACGCAGTGCCTGGCGCAGGGAACACGTGAGTCATCGCCCTCTCCTCGTCAGCCGGGGCAGGGGACGCGCCAGCGCGGCCCAGTGCGAGCCACACTTCCCCAGGAGTGTGAGCCCCAACACCATGCTTCAACACATTTTGTGTTTCGTACGGTAAAGTATCCTACCAGCTCTGGGTCTGAAACCCTTCCATGTCTGCAAACCGCCATTAGGCCGGGAAGCCAGGTCCCCTTGCCAGCTCTGCCTGGCACGCCGAACCTTGAACCCAGCTTTGTGCCACGGCCCCATGTAAGGAGGGCATAAAGAAAGTGCCACCCCTATGGTTATCCTGCCCGTGCCCAGCTGGCCACGGCTCTCCAGGAGGAACACGTGGTGGGCTTTGAACCCCCTCTAGCTTGGCACCAAGCTGAACTTAGATCTGACGCTGTGCAATCAAAGGGGAAGAAAGGGAGTGTCCATGCTGTGGCCATCTCTGCTGCCTCTGTTCTCTGAAGGCAAAAGCAGCTGCCGTTGCTTTTTGAGTGGCATCCAGCTCTGGAGGTGAGTGTGGGGTGTGCGCTCCCCTGAGTGCACCCGCTTGCTGGTGGCCCCGCTGGGGAGGCTGCAGAGGAGAGCCTGCTTCTGGCATTGCTGTGAGCTAAAGAGAAGTTTCTCCATCTACAGAATTTAACCGTAAGAAGTGCAGTTCTGACTGGTTCCAGACAAAGGCAGAGCCACGATTGTGAATTTACCTCCTGCCATTTTTTAAAGCTTAACCATGGAAGCCAACTGGAAATTAAACCAGCTACTTAGAGGTTTAATCCAAGTCTAAGCTGAAAAACATAGTTGAAAGGGCATTATTAGAAACCTTTTCAATGCTGACTTTATTGTGCATTCAAACTTGGTTCTATAGTATGAAATCCATTTTTTATGAATTTTCTACACACTTCTGTGAATAATTAGAATTTCCTTACTCCTGTATGTAAACCAAGAGCACACCTAGTATTCTGTCCTGCTGCCTGGGTTTAATAATGATGCCAAACTGAAATGCAAATCAAACCACTCAGCAAAGCCCATGGTTCATACTCGGATGCCAGCGGTGGCAGGCACCGGCTGTGGCAGTGGAACACTCTTGTTTGCTGTGCAGGCACCCGGATCTGGGGAGATGATCCAGAGGGATCCAGGAGATCAGCATAAACTCTTAGAAGCAGATTTCAGAAATATCTGTAAAACCTTCATTTTGCTGCTTTCAGTGATGATCTCTAAAGTGATGTGCGCACATAAAATCCAGCGCTGCAGTGGTGGCTGATCATGTGGGTTGGAGCTGGAGACATTCCCCATCCTGGTGGGCAGGGAAGAGCCGCTGGCGTCCCATAACAAGTTGTCCTGGTAAAGGAGGGAGAGAGCCACTGTGTCCAAAGCCAAGCGATATAATCCTGCACTTGGTATGTCTGCCTTGGTGTGGGTGCGGGGGGAGACGGGGGACAGTTCTGGGGGTGGAGGGTGGCCTCCTGCCTCAGGAGGAGGAGCAGGGCTGAGTGGGGCGTGCTGGGGGGGGCTAAGGATCTGGTTATCCCACACCCTTCCTAAACCAGGACAGATGATATGGGACTGTGGTGCCAGATCACTCTACACATACCCTAGTTGTGCCGTTCCCAGTGCTCAGGGAATTTAATGGCTTCAGAGAGGACAGAGTGGAGGCTGGAAAAAGCAAGCATTTTCCCTTGTGGTTTGGAGAAGAATAATTTCCATTACAGCAAGAGTATTTGTGGGAGGCTTAGATGCTCTGTGAGTGAACTAATATGCATTTTAAAAGAAAAGGGATCCTGAGCTGGGGCAGCTTGTCTGGAGCCACAGATGCAGCTGAGACAAGACCCAGGGCAGCCCATCCCACCTGGAGACCTTAGTTTAGCTTCCTGAGGTTTTTCCTCCTGAGCTTTACCATCCAGCAGTGCTATCTCAAGACACCCTTAAACAATGGGTCCTGTGATCCTGGCAGAGGGTCCGCACAGCCTTGGTGCCAGGGTAGGTGCCACAGTGGAGATGTGGCACATGCACAGGGAGCCGAGGGGAAGGGCTTTATCATCAGCTAGCCTGAGACTTGGACACCACAGGCAGAGGCATCAGGTATTCCCCTGGCAGCTCCCCACTTTTACTGTAAATAGATGATTCATTTGTCTGCTTTGGCAACAAACTTAGATCACCAAGGAAACACTCGCAAGCTGTCAAAAAAGTTAGAGCACAAAATTAGGTCAAGAGAAATGATGAATGAATGAATAAATGAATAAGTGCATTACAGGCTCAAGCTCCCCGTCCTGTACCAGAGATGTTATGTAGAAATTTTTTGCTCCTCCTGGAGGATGTAGTCGGGGGGCTAATGTTCAGCTAGAAAAATATGTTTTTGGAATATGTCTTATAATGTAATCAAGCATGTCACATGGAGATTCCACGTCTTCTGTAGGAATATGGGGATTTGGAATGCTTTCTGTTGTCACAAAAGAAAATGTGATACTTTGGCAATAAGAAAACAAGAGCAAAACACATCTTTAGCCATCTCATTATACTTGTGAGAAGACTGGGCTAAGCTTGCTAAGGTGCTTGCTGTGTTCTGATGTAAATGAGGTAATAATCATATAAAATGCATTAAATAATTGAGAAACTTTGGTAGGATATGGCAGCTTTTATAATACTTTATACTTGCTTGTGTTTTCTACTCTGAAAGGCAAAGTAATTGGTGAAAAAAGTTCTGCTACTTCAACCTCTCAGAAGGTTTTGGTAGATGTGAAAGCACTCGCATGGCAACAACCTCCCAAATAAACAGCTGGAGCAGTCGTGGTGACTGCCAATGTGCTGAGAGCTGTGGCAAGGCACGAGCACACCCTGCCCTGGCTAAATATTCCCCAGGGCATTGGCAAAACCTAAATAGTTTTGAATAGTTGAGGTATATAGTGTCTCCTGGTGAGAGCAGCTCACCTCCTGACTGCTTCCAACACATGCAGGAGGAACTGACACTTGTCAAGTCTATTATTTTTTATACCTTCACAAACTCCTCATTTCATTAATGCCACCTGGGCTGAATTCCATACAGTTGTCATCA